CGATAGGTCTACCATCGATGGAACACGCATTAGCACTAATGATGACATGTTGAAACTCAGCACCATCATTACGTCAACGGTAATAGACTCCCTCAGTAAATTCGGGTCCCCCAGCCTAGGGTCTCTAAACGAAACAGTGGCTCCCGAGAACTCTGCAGGTGATTGGACCCACGTTAACAGAGCTAAAAAGGACCAGGAGTCACCGTCTAAGCTGAACATCCCAAGTGTTGTACGGAAATCAGCTGGTGGTTTGATCGCACAGTCTACCCCCAAGAATGTCCGTCCGGTCATCAAAAAGCCTAGGATTCGAAAGCGTGCTATGACCTCCAAACAACAAGATTTTCAACCTGAACGCACCGGAAAACCTGGGAAAACAATAACGTTTCGTGATGACTCTCTCATAATCATGAATCTCAAAGAAAACCCTGACCTTACTCTCAGTTTGCAGGACAAAAATGACAGGATACTCTGGAGCGAATTGAACAAGAAGCTTGGACTTCCTAGAATGGAGCCTTCGACTGTCACACGGCTCACTCTGGGAAAGGAATCTAAGCATCAAAATCACCCGGGGCTACTTCGTGTAACACTTAAGAATGCTAAAGAAGAAGAGGATGTCCTGCTAGATAGTCATTTACTGAAATCCGATCAGAACGTAAGAATACTGCCCGACATACCGTATTCTGAGCGCAATCTCATCCGGAGCATCCCTAAAGAATCTTGCGAGTTTATCCGCGGAAGAAATATCATTGTGCAAGGTGTACCGGAAAACACGGACCCTAGTCCAGCAAACTCTGATATTAGGGAATGGAAATTCATCAAACAGTTCTCGAGGCTTAAAAGCATACTGACTCAACATGTGATGAGACTAGCTAAGAAGGACGATGATTCTAGACCCCGACTAATGAGGATAACTTTCCCATCCTTCCATATGGCGGCTGCAACTCTGGAAGCATTTCGTGCCAACAGACGTCGGTTGCCGACTGCGATTCATATGCACCTGGACAGGCCACATGATGCCAGGATCAAGCACAAATGCAAGTTGGAGCTGACCATTCCACTTGTGAACTGTCTTGATGACAAAAAAACGTGTAAAGAACATGGCCTACCAATCCGGCAAACCTCATATAGGTAGGTTACCTGTCCATCCACGTAATGCTCTCACAGACAAACAGGAAGAAGCTCACGCGTTTCAAATTGAAAGCATTAACTGCTTATACATGAACGTCACGAGTCTACCAAACAAAATGGATAAGCTACGTGAACTTAGCAATGCTAATAAGGTTCATCTGATAGGAATATCTGAAACTTGGATATTTTCTCAGTTTTCGGACCAGGAGCTAGCAATACCTGGGATGTCTCTGTTTCGCAACGACAGAAAAACAGGAAGCAGGGGTGGATCAGCTCTGTACATACGATCTGACTTGGAGGTACACCAAGTTCACAACCATGAGTTTAACAATCTTGAGGAATCTATATGGTGCTCTGTGAGATTGTCCACTACTTCGAGGTGCCTCGTCGGAGTCATATATAGGAAGCCCACTGCCGACATCGAGTATGACAGTCGTATGCTGGAAGGACTATCCCGCTCTACGCGTCTCGGTTTCACTCATATCCTGATTCTAGGGGACTTCAACCTCCCTAGAGTCAACTTCTCGGAACATACGTATAATGGAGGTAAAAATTCAATCGAAGCTCGGTTCTTCAACCTTATTGAGGATTTGGGACTACACGATAATGTTAAGTCGGCTACTCGTTGGAGGGACAGTCAGACACAGTCGCGCTTAGACTGTGTTTTTACAAATAAGGAATTTCTAGTCGACAACCTCTCAATTCTGGCTCCCCTGGGGGAAAGCGATCACGCCGTTATAGCCTTCAGTTTTGTATGCAAAACTGAACTAAGATATCCCAACAACAACAGATGCTGGAATTTCAAACGGTTGAATGTGTCTGCTCTACAGGACTATCTACAACAGGTGGATTGGTATGTTCACCCTCAACTTGATGTGGATGCTCATTGGAACTTCTTACTGCACACGCTCGTGTGTGGTACAAAGCAGTCAGTTCATCAAATGGTCCCCAAAAGCCACAAGCAACCTACAATCATCAAGAACCGCACTCCTCGTTTATTAAGCCACAAAAGGCATTCTTGGGCAGAATACAAACGAACTGACAACAATGGAGCATACAGGCAATACAAACATATAAGGAATATATGCACGAAGGCTTCATTACCAGATAAAGCTTATGGATAAATTTGTCTCCAATCCGAAAAGCTTATTCCGTTATGCAGCCTCTCTTCGTCAAGACAAAACTGGAGTTCCCCAACTGCTAGGTCCTAACGGCCCGACCGATAACGACAGCGACGCCGCTAACCTTTTGACTGAGCAATACTCCCAGACATTTCAATCGACCCAGATCAACTATACTGATGACGGCTTTATCTGCAACTGCACAGGACTTTCCGTAGTGAAACTAAGCGCTGACTTGGTGCTCCGAAAACTACAGCACCTCAGAACAGACACTTCTCCTGGTCCAGATATGGTCCACTCTGCTATACTGAGGGAAACAGCTTCAATCCTGGCAACACCGCTTAGCGTGATGTTCTCACACTCGCTAAGTCGAGGCAAACTACCGGATATTTGGAAGCTGGCTCATATCACACCAATCTTCAAAGGAGGTCGACGCAGCGAACCTTCAAGTTACCGACCGGTCGCTCTTCTCTCTATACCTTCAAAGATCATGGAGTCCCTGACATACGATAGTATACATGACTATCTGCTGTCCTTAAATTTCTTCTCACCCTAGCAGCATGGTTTCAGGAAGGGTTACTCCTGTATGACGAACCTGCTGACTAAGGTGGACAGATGAACAAGCATCCTTGATCGCAAGGGGAAGGTGGATATCATTTACCCTGATTTCTCTAAAGCTTTTGATAGGGTTAATCACATATGTCTTATCAATAAGCTCAAACAATAGGGTATCAAACCACCTTTAATTGACTGGCTCAGTTCATATCTGACAAATCGACATTTTATGGTCAGGGTCAACTTCAATTTATCACACGCTATGGAATGTCCTAGTGGGGTCCCCCAGGGCTCAGTACTAGGACCTCTTCTCTTCCTGATTTATATAAATGATCATCCTTAACAGGTAACGTCAGACTTATTGCTTTTTGCCGATGATGTGAAACTTTGGAGAGAGATACGCAACCAAGAGGACATACAGGCACTTCAGGAGGATCTGACTCGACTTCAAAGTTGTGCAGACGACAACGGACTTACCTTTAACACTTCAAAGTGTAAAGTAGTCTATCTGCGACACGTCGCAGATTACAGTTACAACTTAGGAAACTCCTCTCTAGTAGTATCCCGAGTCGAAAAAGATTTAGGAGTCCTAATGCCCTACGATTTAAAGTCTTACGCAAACTATGACAAAAATGTCTTTCGAGCAAACTTTGCTTTGGTAACATTGAAGCGCATTTTTGGCCAGTTTGACGGAAGAACTTTCCACATAATCTTCAACAGTTTTATTCGGTCTATTCCGTCCACAACCAATTGAACCATATGTGTTGCAGCCAGTACAGCTCAGTTGAGTTATCGCGATAGGCAAGCCCGACCACCACGTCAAGGTAACAGCTATGGGAACTTAAGTGGTATTGCATAACAACTCTATACATTTTTCTGTAAAGAATTTAAAATGAAATTAAATCGTCAAGTAAAAAATATAATTTGCTGTATAACAGATCAACAAGGAATTCGATAACACATGATAAACTTGAGATGTTTTTTTTTCTAAAAACTGCTAGGCAGCTAATATTTTTACTCACTATGAGATGCCTGAAGATACACATATAATAAAACTCTCGAGATTCCGTAAACAACCAAACAAATCTGATTAAATGTGAGTGGGAAAAACAACTTGAATAAAGTATTCGTCGGAATAACATTACTTTAATTACGGATTTAATGACCTGCTGAACATTATCTATAAATGATCCGGCACATACGTACATTAGCTTAAGTTATCAAACATTACATCATTATGTTAATATTAGAATAATAATAAGAATACTAAATAATTTTAAATAATGGTAGTAATAGTGACTGAAAAACGGAATGAAATGTAAATCGAAAAAAGTGAGTAAAACTGAAGCATAAAAAGTGTCAAATAATGTTAAAACTGAAGAATTAAAAGACAGCTAATGGACTCATTTACGCTACTGAGATCGATTATGAGCTGTCATTCAAAACCCTAACTGTATATTGAGGTTACCCTCCAGATCTCTACTATAGTCTTTGTTTCACAAATCAGACCAAAAATGAATGACTTCAACTCTAGTAAACACCAACTTTTTTCTGCACTACTCATTTATGTTAACCAGCCAAGAATGTCTTGATAGTCGATGATTAGACATGTGTGATACACACCTCAATTATTTTATTCTACGAAGGTTCATAAACTACGTATGTAATTAACCTTCCAAAGTTGTTGCACAGTACATTAGCTTTTTTGTGGATAGACGGATACTTAAAGTAATACACACTGAATATGCTTAAATTGGCACAAACCATTCAGAAGACGGCATTTTATCGACATATTTACCAAACAGAACTACATAATCTGAATTGATGAGATGTTGGATCTTCAAAGCCAAATAAAAATAAAAATCACCACTACGAACATGAATATTGCAAAAGTGAATAAGAATGGAGAAAGTGAGTAGCACTGATGAATACTGTTTGACGCTGTCAATTAGGATGGCATTACAACATAGCCACTGATTTACTCAAAAACATTCGAGTATTGCAATGTGTAAGAGCCAAGAAGGATAAGATGAAATACATAGAACACAATAAAATTGTTTACGGTCACTCGAGCTCATGTAAACCTTAATAATGTTACAATTACAGAACACTGTGTGACTTAAAAATAAAAACATGTCTAGATGTATAACTAAAATCTAATTTATTTCACTTAACATGAAATTCTGAAAAACATACCCGATCGATTAAGAGAAATAAATAATTGACTTGAAGGTCCAACACCCACCGGATTTTTATAAGCCACTTGTAACGTATATACAATTTGAGGTGTAAGATTGTTAATTTGAATAGGTGGCATATTTTTTGAATTCGCTAACGTAGTTGGTGTTACAACTGACGATACTGTTGAAATATTAATTAAATACATTTCTAGTGGTCCACCTCGCTGACTACATAAAGGATTATCCCACGTCACATTAACAGATTGATTCGATTGAGACAGTTGACGTAAGTTCATAGGTGGACCGCTCGGATCTGAATATATAGAACATACAACATAAATGTTAAGACAACATAAAAAGCAAACTCTGAAACTTAACTGGTATTTCTCGGTGAATAAGGTTTCTTACTTCAACGAGTATCTGTCAAACAGTTGTTCTTACAGTATTTCTGTGTAGTCCTAAATCCACACTCTTCTTTAACTTAAAAATTATTATTGTATTCTTTACCGATCAGGAATAAAACGACTAAATATAAATAAGCGATTCAACTGTCTGTTGGAAATATTTTAAAAAGGTGAGTAAAAACCACTTACAATTTTACTATGATGTTATTTAGAAAAGAAAGTTAGCTAATTATAAAAGCTTAAACTAGAAAAACTGAGTACCTCGTATAACCACAATTGTGAGAGTAAAAGCTTTGGTAATCTGGTCATATGGCTTAATAAACGGGTGTAACGATGGCTCGGTAAACATGCTGGATTACCAATGCCAATTATCTTTTTACAAACATAACTGAATAAGTTTATTAGAACAGAATCTTTGGAAAAACTCACTCTCAAATGAAGTCATAATAGTAGTAGTTGAGGGACTGGTGGGAATACCACTAGATGTCAAACCATAAACTGTAACAATATAACGCCGCCAGTAATCTAATTGCAATTGAATATCTTTGACTCCAATATTCACTGTTTTAGTGTAATTCAGATAGTCTGATGGTGATAAACTGAAGCAGTCACCGATTCCAATCAATGTAGCATGTATAAAAACATTTTGAATTGAAGGGTTCTGCGGATCATTCCAACGAATATTCACTGAGTTGTTATTCGGCATAACGGAAACATATGGAAGAGCTAAACAGTGGGACAAGGTAAAGATGCAGAAATTATTGCTCAACTGCTTATATTTAATGTATACGTTCAAATTTATAGACAAATTATCTACAAAATAAGCCATAACCGTATATGTTACGGAATACAGTTGCTCTCCAATGAGCTTACTGAGTGAACAATGTTGATATTAGACGTTAAATAGTATATAAACACGGTAAAATAATTTTTATAGTTTTGGACCTCCATGATATATGCGAAATATGTCACTACTGTGGAAACTGATATTTACAGATGAATTTTACAGATAAGTAATGGTTATGACGATGAACCTCACTACTGTTTAAATGGTGGTAAGATAACGTTATTACTATAAATATGTTAACAATGAAGCGTATTATATTCAAAAACATGAAGACCCAAATACAATCAGGGAGGCCGATCGTACCAAAGTGTTATATAGTCTAGTTCTAATTAAAGTTTGTTCAGGCCCAAGCGAGATCTGGACTAACCTAGACAATTTTAGGTTCCACTATGTAAGAAGCAATGTCTTGTTATAATAGCCTCATTATTCCACATCTGTACTCCAATAAATATTCAGATAAACAAAATTTGTAACTTTACTTGTCAAAAACGCATCTTCAAATAATATCGATGCGATTTGCTTACAAGCAGGGGATGAAAAAAGATTATGAGTGCTAGTTGTTATGTGCCATAATAGGACTTATGGTCGAACAGTTGGTAAAATTACTGGAAAATCTAGCATATGAACTATCTGAAAGAAACTGTCTTCATATTGTATATGCATCATAATGCCTCATTTCTTATAAAACCCAGTATCACGCTGCGATTCTAGATGGTATTTAACAAAACCGCTAACCTATAAGGCTTCGGGCAACAGGTCCTCTGTTCTAGACTTCCTAAAATAAGACACGTTACGACACATTATCCATTAAATATATTTTTGTTTGCCTATTTAAATTAGGAAAGCCCATTGTCTTTTCTCAGGTTATATCTCCTTTAGAAGATGTAGGGACACGAAATACCTTGTAGTTATACGATATGTTTATACAACAAAAGAAATGGGCTGAATCTTTTAGGGTTATTCACTCTTTAAGTCATTTCTAGCGTATCAATCATCCAAACGTTTCATTATTTACAAATGTTTTAAAAATCAGTGCAACAAAACAGCCAAATCATCTGAAGATCCCAGATACATCATTTTAACTAGCGTCAAATAACACTCATATTACATTCATGTATTCTAGCGACATAACTGCAGAAACCTAACAGATATATTAACCAACTGTTAGATTTGTCTATTGTTAACGAAACTTTTTGTGAATAAATAAATTTTACTTTGGTCATGAGTGGTTTGGTAATATGTCCAACATGATGCTTTTGCAAAAGAGTAATAGTTTATTACTTAGAAAACTTGACAAAATGTCCGAAGACAACATTTCCATTTATTTTCCCGTACATTATATCGACCAGTGAGGTATTAAAAACCCAGGGTATGATCCAAGTGTGAACAGGCGCACGATGTCACAGTCAGTACCAGAACATTGAAGGAAAATTATCAAGATAAAGATTAAAATAGTTGTAATTACAGTAGCATCAATGATGGTAAGCAACTCCTAGTACGTTCAGTTCACTTTGAAAACAAAAACGCAGGGAAAAAATGAATACAAATATCAAAGCTCAAGCCCAAAAGACAAAAACGTTCATTCGGTTTTGAACCACGCCGACCAACGATTAAGACTAATAAGTAGGAGTATCCTCTGAACTTCAATTAGAAAATCTACATCTCCCAACAAAACTCAGTACAGTCATAAATAGACTTGTAAACTGATGCAATGTTGTGAAAGAAGTATTTTTCAGTTCATTTGTGACTTAACTGTTTCTAGTTGTACAATATTTTTGTCCACTTAGGTTTATTCATCCAATTGTCTTTGACTGTACTCCCCAATCTACCTCTCTACAATTTTTATTTCCTTATTGATACAGCGCATATTATTTAGCCCTCAGTTGTACAGGTATTTTTGTAAAATAGAAAATGTAGAGTTAATGAACAAGAAGTTAAAAACATGATTTATACTCATAAAATTGAAGAGGACAGAAATCTTGTGATGTAAGCAATTAGTTGACAGAGCAGTTAGCCTCCTGATCAAAAGTGTCACCAAACTTTAATCTCGACAAACTACCATTTTAACGTCAGTTAAAATTCGAGTAGTTTTAAAATGCCTCCAATCATTTTACGTTAAAGAAACTCAAATGATAAATTTATATTTTTGAGATTCTTTAGATCTCTTGTATCTGGTGGTATACCCTAAGCGAAATTAAGACATAGGTGTAGTAGAAATGTTTAGTGACTTTCGACATAAAGACTAGTTATTTTTTGAAAAAAACAAGAGATATATACCTGACCTGAATTAGAATATTGTACCTGACTTCAATGATTACTAACTCAGCAAAACATTTACGATATTTTCAGAAAGCATATGAGGGTATATGTTTCAACAATGCAACACGCAGATAGGATTAAAAAAATACTAATCAACAAGTGTTCAGATTCTAAAATAACAAATGAGCAATATCTCCCTACTTTGTGGACTTATATCACTTGAACTACATTTGCATAGCTGAATAGTGCTATTTCATGGAAAAATGGCTGAAAGAAATTATTATATTGGACTTTTCATTGCCAGTTGTTTGACATGGTATCCTATAACTCCATGTCTTCAAGATCCTTTGAATGATACGTGCAAACCGATGGTCAAGCACTCGAACTACCTATGTATGAACACAATCTTGAGGTATGAACAACTCACTTCACTGTACGTAACCAGGTAATCTTGCCAGTTCTTACAAATAAAGTGGATCATAATATGAAGTGTGTGCACATGTGAAAAATACTACTATCAAGAAACATAAACTGTTTACATTTTTAATTGCTACGTTATAGCTAACACACCAGCTTCAGGTATATTTTTTAAAAAGTATTTATATCATTAAATGTACAGCAAATAAAAAGTAGATTAAATGTTTAGGCATTTTAGCGACGTAAACTGAGACCGAATTTACTCCAAATGTTACTGTAAAACAAAATGCTTAACTGAAAATTAAAGTTAAGACTGAAAAGTAAAACCTAGGACGAAAAACGTACCTGGGCATTTAATCTCCAGAGGGGATGATTCAGGGCTCGGAACACCTTCAACGATGTATTCATCAGTTACAATCGAGACTAGAAAATCAGCCCTAACGGAAAACACGAAAGGGATAAGTGAATTGTCATGAGTAAATTTGATGGTGTAATTATTTTCATGAGCGGACGTTGCATTGACTGATTGGTATACTGAAAGATTTGTTGATTCAGACCTGAACAAAACTCTAATTACAATCTTATAGGATAACAGAGAAACTAACGTGTACTTAACAATATTTGATGACCCAATATAGTAACTGCTATTAAAAGCTGGCCATGAAATATGAAGGTACTCACAATCACTGTAAACCCTAGGAGGGAAAATCATTTTGGTTCGAACTAGCACGAATAGACCAAGAATACGTACTTACTTTTAGTGCATGCAGCCCCGTAGAAATCTTTGCCACATTTATTCCCGTTAATACATACCCCATTAATATGATTACAAAGGTTCTGTGGTTCACAATTACAATTCTGTGAGCAATTTAGACCAAAAGTACCAGTAGGACATGCTGAATTAGATATGAAGTAAAATTTGCATAACTGTAATTACCATTTTGACAAGCGGGAAAACCAAAATAACCAGGACTGCAAGGTCCAAATTTACACCCAACGCTGTTCCAAGTCGCTTCACATGCATCTTCCAAACAGTGACATACATAAGAACAGTTCTCTCCAAAACTTAGTGGTTGGTTAACACAGATAGCTATTTACTACCATAATGAATAAATTTCACACCTACATGAGATTACTGGGTATACACACAGCAAACGGAAACTAAGTAAGAAGATCGATATGAGCATCAAACCCAACAAAAACATGCAACACGTTAAACATTCGTATTACCACCACCTCGTAGACCGTAGAGACAGCGGATGACAGGAAGCGGTCAAACACCAAATATTTTTGGACGATGATCTTCCAACTAGAAATAGTTAATTTTTATTTTACTATTCTGCGCCTGAATTTCGGAAGACTGGTTATGAATATAAAGTGTTCACCTGCTGCTTTGATCGAAATTGCATCTGTATTATGAGAATGTGAAGAGGTTCAACCTCGGGAATCGCTTTTCATGAGGATAGAAACTTTCCACCTCTTTCGATTACTAAAAACCAGATTTATAATTACTATGAAATAAGATTACGTTCTGTTAATAAACATCAGCACAGCATAATTATCTTATAATTTTCTCTTCATAAAGAGTTAGTAGGTTGATGAACCCTTCCGAGATCAGTGTTTTTAAATCAGTTTCACTCTGGAAAGGACAAGAGATTTGGTGACCTGTGTTAGTCCCGGCAATCATGGTTTTTCGGTTGATCCAACATTCATTTGAAAGGTGGATGGAGGTAATGAATTCCATTCGTTGATGATCCGATGGAAAAGTCAATAGTCAGCTGGCAAGTAATTTGTTCTGTGTTTGTGAAAGTTCCTGGAGTGTCCTTGTGAATTCTCTGTTCTGGAAGACAGAAAAAACGAGGGCATGTCAGGTGCAAATTCATCACTAGGCAGTTTGAAAACTGTAATCAAGTCACTTCTAGTTCTCCGATATGACAACGAGAATAGGTTCAGCTTAGCCAGTCGAGCATCATATAGAGCTTCGCGATTTCAGGAATCAGCTTAGTTGCTGTTCTCCGAATTTTTTCCAAAAATTCACCGACCTTTTTAAGCAGGGGCTAGCGGCTTGAATGCAGTACTCAAGTTTAACTCGCACGAACACTGTATACAAAGTCAAAACTAATGGCCCTACGTATTGACCGTAGGATTCGTAAACCTCTGGCGGCTGTTGCACGGCAGTTTGCAGTAGTCTTCAAGTCTTGGCTAACGATGACTGCTAAGTCATTTTTTGTCTGGACAACAAGTAGCTTAGTGTTGTTCATCGTGTATGTATCTGTACCTTGATGACCATATGCATCACAATACACTTGGAAGTATTTGTCGGCAACTGCCAGATTTCAGACTATTCAGATAATTTCTCCGAGTCATTTTGAAGTTCCAAGCTATAACACTTACTTCTTATCGCTCTCTATACCTTGACATCATCAGCATATAGCAAGACCGATGATGATAGGAGGAATAACATTGGCCCCAAAACTCTACCTTAAATCACTTCGCTAAGTACAGTTTCCCAACTAGACAACTTGGAGTTTGTTCGTACTCTTTGTTTGCGCCCAACTAGTAAGTCTTTTATCCACATTATTAAATTTCATCCGATACTAATATTACTTATAAAACAGCTGGTTGTGACAACTCTGTCAAATGCCTTACTGGAGTTAATGTAGGCTACATCTAAAGGTAACTTTTGACTTTTAAGAGCTCACCAACCTTTATGGCTAACTAATAAGTTAGTCTGACATGCCCTATCCAACCGAATCTACGTCATCGTCATTTTAAGATATGTTTTCACAACTGAGTTCTGCAGCACAAATTTCTACGGTACAGTTTTGCTTTCCACACGTCTTTGTAGCCCCCGAGGACGTAGTATAGTCAATAGTTTTCGCAAATGACTGCTTATCTGGAGGCTTGCATATTTCGGGGATAAGCGAGTCCTATGGAAGTAAAGTTTCAGGAAACAGTGTCTTACAATCAAATGTCCGCGTCGATTATTCTCATACTTGGAAGAACGAACTGTCATTTCCACGACATGAATCAAAAGCACCAAGACTAATACAAGTGTATGTTTACTGAACCCGAAACACGATGGCCATAACCGATCCATTTAGGTTGATTATTAATTAGAGTAAAATCACATGTAAAACATACCCAGAGTTATAGCAAATCATTTGCCGGATGTCATGCTGAGCATAGTTTACGTTAATTTAACACAAGTATATAGTATTTTGAATAGAGATCACACCCAAATAAATTAATTTTATAACGAATAAAATATCACGCTTTAAAATAATACAAATATTGCTCCGAATAATCATCACATCGAACTAAAAAACGGAAGCGCTGTTGAGAAAACACCACACTGAGTGAAATAATGTAGTTTTGCCTTTTCATCTCATCATATCAGTTACGCTACTGCGATGTTTTCTACTTAGTTATATTAAAAACTAAGACGAGAATGAAGAGTAAGGAAAACTTTGATAGAAATTTATGAAGAAACACATGAGAAAACAGATAAATTGGTAAGAACAATCTGATAAACGATATCAATTAGAAATGAGTGAGTTAAGTTAGGATTGAATCGTGTCACATCACTTAACATTGTAAGGTTATGTTTATTGGTCTCAGTAACGTACTGACTACTGCTGAATAGGCTACGTTCACAATGGATGGCAAAACTTTTCACTGTGAACTCGTAGTGCGAAAATGTGAGAATCACCACACTATTTGCTCTCTAATGATTATGCGTACATAGTGTGTCATATAGCATATTCTTCTACTCATCATGCAGTAATGTAGGGTATTTTAGAGAATTATTGCTGGTATGGTTTGAAAGTTAGCGGTCAACGTTTCAGTGTACGCCATTTTTAATTTAACATATTCGGCTGCGTTACATCATGTTTCTCAAGCTAATTTGCACTATGTTGAATTTTTTAGTAGCGGGCTGAAAAATTGTTTCGTAGTAGTTTTTAAGTGTGTATTATGTTTCTAAAACTGTTAACAAAGTTTCGAAGATATGCCTGTTAGTTCTGAGATTCATATACGTGATACTAAATTATCGGTCAATGTAGACAATTTTTATACACTGCTTAGGATGATTGGTAAATAATCAGACAGGACACGTGTTAGTGAGAATATTAAGATAGTGAGTGGTTAGGTGGATTAATGTTTTACTATGGTTTTTATAACGACGCATTCGAATTCGTTTCGCTTCCCGTGCGAAGACCTTACATTGATATCAGTCTAAACTGTAGAAGCCCTTTCAACTTGTCATAAGGTTGTGCGGTCGAAAACCCCATAATTAACTTGCATTTAATAAAACGACCTGGATGACTTATCCACAGTATTTGTTATGGGTTATTCTACAAATTGCTTTTGAAATCTTCGCAAGTATAAATAGCCATAAAGTAATATATTCAGAGTGACTGTATAACTAACTCCGCCTGAAGCTCTTTTAGAGATATTATCAGTCCAAAGACCACACAAAAATAGAAGAGTTGAGCATGATGTCGACAACCCTGTCCCATGGAAAAAAAGCATTTCTAAAAAATGACAAAAACCAGACCAAACAAATTAAACCACTTCAACTCTGCCCTGGGAATCGAAAGAAGAATTATCACACTTCGGGATGAAGCCGAGATTCTTCGGAAATCACGAGACTGATGCCACTTTTAATAACCGGAGCAACAATTTTTTAGGTACATGGAACGTCCAGACCATGTGAGATACTTGCTATACAGTACGGGACGAAAGGTCTACGTGCTAGTTCTTTTACTAACCTCAAACACTTAAAAAGCTACTAGTCAGACCCCATACACTGAAACTTTCGAGCCCAGATGGACCGCTTTGACTTACATATCTATAAGTAGCTCTTGAGTTTGTCAAGTCTCACTGTTAAATCTTTTCAAACACCGTCTCGCATTGTATTATGAGCAAACTGTATTGATAAGCCTCCTCCCTAGATTACAGGTTCAACAACACACGAATCTGTCACAAAATTCTCGCACTTTTGTGTCACTTTCTCCATGAAAGATATAAGATGGTGCGTTCTCAAGCCTAACCCTACTTATTTGAATGGATGAGAAGCCAAGAAATCTGATTTAATATGGTCATATCCACGTTATCCTTACGTAACGCGTACACTGACAACTAGATTTTGCGTCGTCTGATTGATATGGTTAAACATCTTGTCCATGGACCTTATAGGTTGTTGCTTTGGTAGTGTGTATCCTTAGAGGGATGCGCTTCATTAGGTGAGTGGGATATCATGATTAACTTTTCAGTCAAGGTTTTAAATATGCACCATAAATGACTTCTGAAAGTCCATCAATTAGATGACCTAACCACAGTATGAGCTCAATTAAACAGAGATTGCTAGTGAGGGGAAACGCCGAAAGCTTAGCATACGATGAAAAATGCTACCTTGACTACATTTGAGATTTAGATAACCGGATTACGCATGAATTTTCATTTAGTAATATTAAGGTCACTTGCCGCATGAACTATTCACTTAATCTTCGTTCCCGCATTATCGAATCCAGGCACAGCTTGTGCACCGAGGACAGAAGCCATCTGGCTTGTGTTAATTCCTTTCCAGTAAGCTTCTGTGTCTGGTCTATCGAATCAGTCAGTTGAGGATGAGGACATCACTTCGAGTAGTAGGTTGCAGGAGTTGATGACTCGGCTTTAAAAAATTGTATGTCAATAGCATTTTATTTGTTCTTGGCTCTACAACTCCCCTGATATATCCTCTGAGCTACTCTGAACCGATAGCAAGAAGAAGAGGAGATAATATCAAATCGAAGTCATTCTTAAACATTTTATACATCAAAATCAAACCACCTCTATATCTGTGGTAGGAAAGAGTAAAGAGACCTAACCTTTCGGACCAGGTTGTACATGACAAACCTCAGAACTCTGGAATTATACGAGTAGTGGTCTTTCGTGCATATGTAGTGGCATTTAACCCCAACCACATAATCCTCAAAACTGAACACGAGACAAGCGGGGAAATAGATATTCAGTATTTAAGGTGGAGAAAAACTCAACGACAGGGAAGGCGGGAAGAACAAATTCAATTAATTAAAATTCAAATGATTGTATGGCATGGATTGGCCTTGCAAGCGTGGTCTTTCTTATGTAACATTATTTTTATCCATATTAAATATATTGCTCTATCTCCAGTCTAAATATGTTTTTCATCATTGTTGCGACGGGATGAGTCGGTGTAGACAATGATGTGACTTCCATGTGAGATCTTATAGATTAGGCAGTTACATTATGAAATTCTGCAATTTTAGGATTAGGTTTATTATTAGACCAGTACTAATATCGAAGCAGATCATAAATCTACACACATTCCAAGACAACCGATTTCTTCTTAAACGGAGGCTTCCAGACTGGATGCAGCCATAAAGAATTAGTGTTACGTGTACCTTAGTGAGTATATTTGTATCTATCTTGTTGAATGTCCTTCCTAGACCCTATGGCGTTTTGGACACATTAGTGGCAATTGAACAGCAGTGGGATGTGGTTTTGAGGTCATGGCCAACTATCACCTTAAGACACTGTGAGATAAAACAAGGGCACTAATTCCTCCTCAATAAAGTAACTATTTATGTTTGTATTCTCAATATGTATATAGACAAAATCGCATTGGTAGTTATAAACCACGCTCTAGACTAGTTGACTAGGACGTCTAAGCCTGTCCGAAATGCACATGAGTCTGGATTCTATGTTACTTCTCACTAAATTCTGACTCCATCAGCATAAAACAACAAGGAGGAACATAACAATACTATGTATTACATGTACATATGGTACAAAAGTGTAGAACCTAAAACAGAGCTTCATGGTGTTACACTAAGCACTGGTTTTCGTGAGGAACATGAAATTTATTCTTTATGTCTACGACCTACTTAAACGCGATTGATCCTAATTAAAAGAGATCAAGCAATTGATAATTTCTTTGGTTTGAAAAGAAGTCTGCCCCCCAACACCCTATCGAATCTCTTGGGGAAGTTGGCCCAGACGAAATCCACTGAGTCTTCATTGTCAAGCGACTTCGTCCACCTCGCTCTTGTCATATGGAGGTAGTTAATTAAGATAATCCATTCCTGTTAAATAAGTTATTTATTTCCACATAAACTATGATGATTTCCTTTGTTACTATTTCCAATACTGCAATTGAGACTCTTATGATGCAGACCGATGTGTCATTTGACATAAGTTGTCCATGTTTCGTCTGGTTAATGTTCACTGCATCCTTCTGATTGTATTCGATATTCACTGACGGATGAACAACTGGTGTCAATGAACTTTTTTTTACCAGAAATAGAATACTAGGTCAGGACTAGCATAAATTTGTTGTTCAAATCAAATCGTCTGGTCTTATGCTTGAGACGAATTATTCAAAAAATTAAGAGCAGCTAAAAATGTGTATGTGAAATGAAAGATTTTTCAATGTTATGTAGTAATAACGTTTTATTTTTATACAGAAAAATCTAGAAAACACCATAGAACCAACCTTTTCTAATGAACTTTCTCGTTTGTTTTTCCTTATCAAAGCTTATTGCAGTCGTTTTTAAGCGCTCTTCATAAGGCATCAGATTTGACTTCAAAATGTCTGGACGAGGGAAAGGTGCAAAGTCAAGTAATAAACTTGGTAAAAAGTCACGGTCTGTTCGTGCTGGTCTTCAGTTCCCTGTTGGGAGAGTTCACAGACTACTGCGTTTGGGAAATTATAGTGAACGTGTTGGTGCTGGTGCGCCCGTATACCTTGCGGCTGTAATGGAATACCTGGCTGCGGAGGTGCTTGAACTGGCTGGAAATGCAGCTCGAGACTACAAGAAGTCGCGAATCGTTCCAAGACATTTGCAGCTTGCTATTCGTAACGACGAGGAGTTGAATTCATTACTGGGTAAAGTCACTATTGCTCAAGGGGGTGTATTGCCTAACATTCAAAATGCACTTCTGCCGAAGAAATCTGATGTACCTGCCAAGAAGTCTCAATCTCAAGAGTATTGATGTTATTTACCTTAAACAGAGTTAAATATATGTATCCTATTTAACGTATGGTTTTTATTTCAAAGGCATCGATTGCTACTTATAGCAAGTACATTGTAAGAATTTGTAAGGACGATCTTTTTTAGTCTAAGAAAAGTCACTTATTAATACCTGTTGTTTTAGGGCATGTTGAGTGTCTTCTAAGGCGTTACCATACATCAACTTTAATTTTTAGTGGCGGGTCAGTGTACATGTTTTATTGATCTGCCAAATGGATTGCAAATGCGTGACTGAGTTAACTACATTTGTCGTTCAGTATCGTGAGCATTTGGGTCGGGTCACGTCAAGGGAGAGGGTTTCAGTTAATGAGACATCTTGTTGTGCTGTCCCGATCGTGAGTGTGGTATCGCATGTACAGATATCGTCCTACAACTTGCACTAAAAATTGTCGCCTTCTAGCTAATTTCCGCTTGATATGTTTGGAGGGGGCGTGTGGGTCAAAGAATTGTAGTACCTTTTAATATGACGGCTTATCCTTAAATTACCTCCGTTCGATTTAATCACCACTTAAATGCTTTATCACAATCTTAATCAGAACACTAGCCGCTCATGCTTTGACGCTCATACTTTCTACTCTAAATAGGGAATAGATCTGAAGGACCTTGATGTGATACATAGAGGTCCGACTTCTATGATTCTTCACATTAAATCCAGCTAAAACTAGGGGTTTTCTTCACATCACAGTTCTCATTGATTGCATAGCTACTTGGTTCGTTCTTTAAATTAGAGATTAGACAATCTGCACAAAGTTTTGCCAACAAACAAGGGAGTTATAGTAGAATTTTGGACGGATGACTGGCTATCATGGATAACTATAAACTGGTGATTTATTTTTGACTTATCAGAAGTCGTCATCTAATGAATACACGTAAGTTGAAGTAACCGTGTTCATAATCGCATGCGAAGTGAGAAAACAGTACGTATTTGGTTATGACTCCACATCCATAGTATAAGTTTCTGTAGAAAAATCACGGATGAGTTTTAGTTGGAAGGTGTACACCAAAACAGGATTTTAGTGAGAGAAACCAGTGAATACATATGTCATGATTTCTGGCCCTATTACGGGCGATGGATTTGGGGATTGAAAGAAGATTGTTCTAGATTTTGTGCAGTTTAGTCATGAAATAACATATACATAAATCTAATTCCAACCACTAACTGTTAATGGTACTTCTCTTAAGTTATTACTTGCTTGAGATCGTCGGAGTGGTATTGTTTATTTGTAAGAATGAATTCAATGTACTGCTAATCCATATACCTATTTTTAACATGGTCTTTTAGGTAGTTTCTTTGTCATATTATGTTATGGGTTTATTTCCTTCAATACTACAGAGCTATCACTCTGAATCTATCTAAACTTATGGTATATTCTAATCCTGCATTTTAGATATTCCACTCTTCTGTGTTACGTGCTTCACTACGCAACGTTTTAGTATTTAACCTTATTTGTTATAAGATGGTTGAGTAAAATATAAGAAAATACAATACACCCATCTTATTTAGATGCGGCTTTTATTTTCCTATGATTTTCAGTATACTCTACCGGGGTTATTTTCACTTTACCCACAGAACGAATTGTTAACGAACTGAAATTTATCAAGTTCTGACCATATTTGATAATCGAATGCTGCGGGTTTAAATTAAGTAAACTAAACACATCTAAAGATGTCAGATTTGCATCGGTCTGCTCAAATCATTATTCGTGATTTCCTGAAATATTTTGTGGACCTTTGCAAGCTATTTAGTTTGTACGTTCTCATTTTACGTATGTCACTGTCAATTAGACTGTTCACACAGGGAAAATATCACAAATAAATGGTCACTTTTTACTAAGTAGAATGACATCTTTCACTTTATTTACCGAAATTAGCGGAACATTTGATTAGACTATCCAATGTGAGGTGATAGTCTGATAAATTAATAAAAAATAAATTAAGGAGGTACTCTTCTTAGTTGAACTTTTTTATTGTGTTTACTTAAGACTTGTATGTAGTCCGATAAAACATATTTGTTTGTCCCGGAAGATATTTCTGAAGAAATCACATACACCGTTCTGTTTATTACTCTGAAAACACCAAGAACAATGATTTGAAAAGTGACATGAATGAATCCTTATGTTTATGCTTTCTCAGGTGCTTGCAATCTGTGATAGGTTGAAAGCAAAATTACAAAATGGTCTTCACCCAGAAGGGATGAAGTTTCCCAGTAGTAAATTTTTAGCTGTATATCATCATACAGATGCCTTGAGACATTTCAATCTAACTATTAACAACAAAGCTCTAGTCTTTTGAAGCTGTCTTTTGAAATCTTCTGAAGCTGTCGATACCAAATACCTAGATGGCTGATCTACATGTTCAGAAGTAGGTAATCGTCAGTCTCTCCTAACTCCTGACAATATATCGTTTTTCATTATATGGTCTTTCTAATTTGACTGCATCACCATTTTATTTTATCCCAGTACAGTAAATAACTCTATTTTTTGTTTACTGAGCATAATTCATGTTGGTTTTAATTAACATTTACCTATATTTAGTTATTTTACTGAGTAATTACTTAATCTTAGCCTTATGATATTTTGTCGTTTCTTAATTTCATGTTCCAGAACCTTGCTTCCGAATATGATATATATGAAATATGATATTTATAAGAAACATCTTGTTCAGTCTTTTGTAAATTTATTTAGATCTTCACAACACTGTTTGCATAAAATTTCAGCTAGTTTCATTCTTATAAAATTGTTACTTGTTAGTAGATTTGGATTGTGCTTATTATCGGAATCCATGACCCCTTATTTGTACCATTTAGAACTCATCAGCTGGGTGTACCTGCACCCTGGTGCTGATGTCAACGCTGAGACTCGAACCCAGTACATATCGTTTCAAACACCAACGTGTTTTCCCAATAGAGTGGTCAGATACATCATGTAATATTAACAATGGGAAGAACGTATTTTTACAAATGCTGCACTTCATTTGTAACTTTGAGTCAAAAATATTATGTGTTATAAACAGGCGATGAAAACCTGACGTAATTAAACAAATTCATGATATTTCGCTCAAATTGGTATTCTTCCTCTGTTTAAGACTATGAATGCTTGAAAATTACTCCAATGTTAATTTATTTGAACTAAAGAACAGTCTTTGAATATACAGTATTTACACAAAAGCCTCTAGTAAACTACACTGTTTTTTAAATACATTATTAATCACTGAAGATACATCCCATATCAAGTACTCTCCATTAGAGGCCTTTTTTCTAATATGAAAGTTTGCTTTAGCATATAAATACTTATTGATCGTCCAGATACTTCTCTTTATTTTGATATAAATCATTACACATCAAGTAGCAGAAACCTAGTTTACTGCCCTCTTAAATGTGATCATGGTTAGCTTTTTTCGACACGTGTAAATGAGTGATGTTCTTTAAGTTTATTTTATTAATCAATTATAATGTAAGAAGCATTTTTATGTTATACTATGTATGAAAAAATAATCAACATTCTCTTCGAATTCTCAACGTGTTTGTTAAGAATGCAAATGATTAGTCAACAGTGAGAAGATTCGAACCCTTAAAGCTGGATTACATTGCTAGCTACTGTCCAGCTCTGCTTAAAAACAAACAATAACCTAGGTAGTTTTTAAAATTTTGTTTTAAACTCGAATGGCAAACTCGGTTAGCTGTCCACACAGAGGTTAATCTGATGTCATTAGGCTAGTCTACAGGACTTATGAGTGTTTATCGATCAATCTTAGTGTTAACAATTTTCGTCGATCTTCGTATTTTGACCCAGCAGACCTTAAAGGGCTAAATGAGTCAGTCATACTGAAGTCAAAGCAACCAAGTGATAGCTCGCCTGTCACTCATTATCGCTTTCGTCTGACAAAACTTATTTGTGATACCAGTATGTTTTTATACTAACTTATTTAAGATTATCGTGACATATTTGAGCCTGCACATCTACTGGTAAACCGACAAAGTGTTGGCAATCCCTCATTTCCTATAAGATAATGCAACAACATAATTTAGGCAAAATTAGGAAAGTCATGTGTAATATTCCATACGATTTGTTCCTTTCATGAACTTGAGTCAAGTCAAAACAACAACCGAGGATTAATAATGAGTTTATTTCATTTCACGATTTCTCTTCATCTGCTTACAACCATATATGTACGAATTGCGTAACAGCTACAAAAGATTTGCTAAATTTACATAAGTTCAAGATGAAACGAAAACAGATATAAGACTCAGACGGGTGAAATAATAATTATTTAGATCTCGATTCATAAAATGATTACGTAATAATTTAAGATTTGAAATTTCATACAAGTTCAGACAATCGAGGAAGTAAAAATCATGAATGAATAAAATGATAATTTTCAAGCAAATGAAATATCAATAGACTTAGTGAAGATAGAACAATAAGTACACAGGATTAATAATAATTAGACATTTTAATCAAAGCTGTGGAAAGGTTACTTGATAGTACTGGTTTGAAGATGTCAACTGTGTGGTTTGATTAAAGACCTATTATGAAAAATACTTTTCAGTATATAGTTGTGGGGATTGCTGAGTTTTAACTGAGATAATGAACCGGGTTTGAGGTAGTTACTCACCGAAGACAATGGAGAATGGTCGAGCGATATCGTGGATTGGTTAAATTTAGACATTAACACCGTTAGATACCGGCTCAGTGGTTTAAAGGTTAAGCATTCGCGCGTGAGATCAAAGGTCCTGTGTTCGAGTTTCGCGTGCGTAATCGTGGATGCTCACTGCTGAGTAGTCCCATAATAGGATGAAATGACCGCCCAATGCTTCCAGGTCTTCAGTGGTGACCTAACATTGATGAGCTCATGATCTTTATTAAAAATACTTACATTTAAAAGGTTGGAATAATCAGTTTCCCAACAGATTTGTATACTTTATTATTTGCAGAATGTTTTTCGATAGAGATATGTTTTACCATCATCATCCTTCAAAGTAATCATTTTACACAAAATTATAAA